GATAGCGGCCAGACTGCTCTTGAGGAGCCACCTGCGGTGCGAAATTGCGAGGAAGTCTCAGGCGAGAGCGCCCTTCCTGAAGTTCGGGCCCTCTCTGACCAGGGCCTCTCGGAGTAATTTGTGAGGGCGCATCGCGCGGGTGCGCTGTTGATGTTGGGGTGCCTGTTTGGGCGCACCCCGACACGCCCGAGCGTGAGCCTCGATTTCAAAGCGAGCGCCGCCGGCGCCGGTGCGATGGCACGAAAGCGGACATAGGGGATCCAACGCTACTGATTGTTTAGCAACTGCTCTTAAGTCGGGCCTGTCCCCCTACAGGGGGATTTTGGACGAAAAACTAAACATAGTCAAATAATACCCTGAAATACCCATAAATGATAACAAACATCGTCCCCCGACTATTTTCTTACTGTTTTGGAACATCCCCCCTGGAGAGGGACACGCCCGACTTAGAACTGCTGTGAAGCAAACAGCGAACACACATAACAAGAAGCCGCGCCGGTCGAGGGGGAGGGGAACCCTGACCTTCCAGTGCTAGAAAATAGCACTCCAGACATATAGATCTATGACGGCCTCGAACCTCGACAGGAATTAGGACGTCGACGTCCTGGTGCTATTTTTCTGCCCTCCTGGAAGGTCAGGGAGAAGGGGGGTGGGCCCGGCCTGCTCGCGCCGAGGCGCGAGGTCACGGCGCGAGGTCTGCGGCGGCTCGCTGCCCTTCCGGTGGGCGCCGCCGTTGGATGCTCGTTCTGGGGACCTTCCTGGAGCCGTTCGCTCCACTCGTGCGTCGAAGCTGCGTCGAACGTCTGTCGATCTGGGTCGACCCTGAGTCGAACCTGAGTCGAACCCGAGTCGACCCCGAGTCGAACTTGAGTCGAACTGGAGTCGAAGTTGAGTCGAACTGGGGTCGAACCGATCCGTGAGGTGGGCTCCAGGGAGGTCCCCGAGACGAGCAGCGAGCCGCCGGGCCCCGGGAGCCGAGGAAAAGGAGCTCGGGGCGAGGAGCCGGGCTTCGGCCCCGGCCTTCAAACGGCAGGCGCACAGCTGCTTGCCGCGGGGCGTGAGCGAAGGGGCCCTGGGGCCCACAGATAAATACACACACAAATGACAGGAACCCCCATCTTTTCTCATGCCTTCTCGGTTCTTGTCTTCCCCACCACTCCCCATCTATTTCCACATCTTTTCCCATCTTGCCTATACAGTCGGGGCCTTGACCTAAGGAACCCAAGCAAAGGAACGAGGCCCCTTTTTTTCCATAAATTAAACTTCGACTTCCTATCGAAAGCATAAGGAAAACCTGAGGCAGGCAGCGAAACACTCAAGGAACGTGGAGCCCCTCCCCGACGAAAAGGGTTCCTTCTTCAGGGCCCCGACTGCATTTTCTGGGGAATGGAGGATGAATTGTGGCTGTGCGCTTCTTTCCCTCCCACTTTCCTACTTTCTCCTACTTTCTCGGCTTTTGTCTTCCCCACCACTTCCCATATATCTTCCCATCTTTTCCTATATTGCCTATACTTTCTGGGGAATTGTCCCATCTTTTCCTATATTGCCTATATTTTCTGGGGGATGGAGGATGGATTGTGGCTGTGCGCTTCTTTCCCTCCTGAGTGAGGGCGCCCCGTTAGGGAACCCACAAAGGACGTACGCGCCCAGCTATGTACATGAACACGGCCCCCCGATTCGCGAGACTGGCCGCGTGATGCGAACATTTGTGCAGTGCGTGCTCTCGAAACCAGCGTGGATTCATGTACATGTACGTCCTTCTTTCGCTCCTGAAACGTGATGCCTCCGACTGCCCTCGTGCCGCGATGCGATGCGAGGCGAGGGGACGGGGGGCTGGCCGCCCAGGAAGAGGCCCAGGCCAGACCTTCGGGGGCCCACAGGGTAAAGACAGGAGGAGGAGGAGGAGGAGGAGGAGGAGGAGGAGGCGGAGGAGGAG